CAGCGACAGGCACACGGAATCAGCGCCAGCCACGCAGAGCCAGCGCTGCTAGGCGGAGCCAGCCCCAATCACGCGGAGCCAGCACCAGCCACGCGGAGGCAGAGGCACAGGAATCTGTGAGCTCTGACCAGTTGACGCAGAGTCTCGGGAACTTGCACGCAATTTGTCGGAGCAGGAGTTCTGTGCTTAAATCCGATTACGCAACCGATTATCGGCTCCATCACTCTACCGATTATCGGCTCGATAACTCTACCGATTATCTGCTCCATCACTCTACCGATTATCGGCTCCATCACTCTACCGATTATCGGCTCCATCACTCTACCGATTATCGGCTCGATTACTCGACTCATCAGAGAGCACGAGAATAGTTGGGGGGGTGGAAAAGTCTCGTCTCCGTTCCCACACGTGCCGCTGGTCGGGAGGTGATGGGCGGGGGCTTGGTGAATTGTGCCTCAGGCAAAGACCCTGCCCGTCATTGCACATACAGTACCGTCAGCAGACAAAATTATAAACGAGTCGCTGGTAAAGACGTAACGATTCTCTCCCCCCCATCTCTATCCCCTTTCCCCCCGTCTTCCCTCAAGTGATTGTGGTGAATTTCAATTAAGGAATCAATAGTTTTTAACACCGTAGTGGACCTCGTGGTGACGGGTGACTGTCGGGGATAATGTGAACTCATTGCACATTACATATATGATTCTGGGCATGTATGGCCAGCTGAAGAATCTAACATATTACAGGCTGGCCAAAAAGTCAGGACACGTTGGGTTATGATATTTATTTTAACGACTCACAAAGGCTCATTTCGGTGATTTTAACAAATGCTCGAGTTGACTTCCGTAAGCATTAACACATGCATGAATTCTCTTTTGAAATTAATTTTGGATTTAATTTCAAGATTACCTTTGAACATTCATAAATGATATTGTCTCAATTTATTCAGGGTTCTTCTTCGAGTTGGGCAAATGACGGGCTTGAGGTGACCAAGAAAAATATATATTTATAAAGATAACAGACAAACTATTAAGAGAAAGGACACATATTTTAAAAAAATATGCCAGTGTCAACATAAGTGAAATAACCCTATGTGTCCTGACTTTTGGGCCACCCCGTAAGTAATGTGAATCTATTACACAGTATGTACGTATGTTGAACTTCTTTTGCACCGTACGGAGCCAACCGTGCTAACAAACTAAAACGAAAAAGCAGTTCAAAAGAAATAGGTTTTAAATCTAGATTGTGATCTAGATTTCAATCGAGATACACCGATGCATCGTTGCATTGCCTATGAACGGCCTGCACTGCACTGCCACGATCTATTAGGCCGCCGTTCGAAGGAGCACTGCACGGAAATGTGCGCGCGACGTCCCTCTCGCGACGCTCACAAAAACCTCTTCTTAAAATGCCTGCTGTGTGCCCCGTAGCCCGAGACGTACAGTATACGTACAACAAAACAAGTGCTTACACCTCGTTCCCTGCATTTTCAAACAACCAAATTTCAATTCCTCACTCTGCCTCTCTGGCCTCTCTCGGCGTGCTGTGACTAAGAACCCCCTGCCGCAAACGTCGCCGACTGGACGCCATTCCTCATTAGGCCGCGTTGTCGATTAAGCTGTTGATATTTTATAATTAGTATGATGAAGGAAAGGACATCCGTGTTCATAGACAACGTGGAACGGACCCCCCGAGTTGTGCGTCGTGTTCGTTCGACCCAAGGGACAGCGAGACCAGACTCTGGTCACGCGTTCGGAGCGGGGCTCCTGTCAAAGGGGGAGCCGCCGAATGAGCGCGTGGATCACGCTCTTCGGCGAAGTGCAAAAACGCCGACCCTCGGAACCAGCGACGCCCTCCGGCACCAGCAAGCCTTCGCCGTCAGTGCGTCCCGGCGCCACGCGCCGAACACAAGCGTTCGTTCGCAATGAAGGTTTTTTTGAGTTAGATGGCGCGTAAATATAAATGTGTCGTTAACCCGCCACCACCCGGCACAGACAATTTAGTAAGGTTTGTCACGAAAACAAAACGTGCCAGTTAGTGACTACTTCAGCACACCAGGTGAGTTGCAGAGTAAACCCACAATGTTCACAATTTGAGTTCCGTGACGTTTCGCTGGTGAATACATCCAGCGTCGTCGGATGATTTTTCCAGAATTGCCGATTGTACGCGCGCCACTCTGACGATCGAATCGCGAGAGGGTCGCGATGTTTGCATCTGCGGCGATGACAACGACGAGAGCGACGCGTCAGGGGAGAGGGCAAGACCCTCCCCCCCCCCCTCTCCCGCCACCCCCCGCGCCCCGGCGCAAACAAGAGGGAGCAACGGGGGCGCGCGAGCGGGGCGAGCGGCCACGCGACCGCGGCCGTCCCCGCGCTGTCTGCTGCCTGCCACGCCGCTCCGCGTCCACACAAAAGGCCCAGGCGGAGGTCGTGCCACCGTCTGGACAATGGCCACCGGGGGCAGACAAAGGGGGCGAGAGGCGCTGCCGTGGAGGTCTTTTGTTGCGGCCTCGCTCAGCCCTGCCAGCTGCTGCCCGCGTCCCCGCGCATTTACCCCCCAAAAAAAAGCGGTAATAAATAAAATAATACATAGATTTATAAATAAAATAATAAATAATTGCGGGACAGCCCCGGGCTGACGTCGCGCCGACGAGATGATTTATGCGCTCGCACGCTCGACCCCTGTGATTGGAAAATCACCGGCGCTGATGGCCGCTGATATCCCCCGGAACCTCATAGTACGTGCCCGGCAATGGAAATAGTCATGATTATCGTTATCATCGGCCAGGGGGAGCGTGGATGCGACATTTTCACTCCCGGCAGCATCTGATTTCCTCCGGCTCGTTAAGACATTAGTTGCTCTGCTTCTACTACTACTATTATAATTATTATCATCGTCTGCGTCGGCGCAATCATCGTCGCCGTCACCATCGCCTCCGCAGGGCTGTGACCGGACAGATGTGGTCCCGCTTCAGGGGGAATTGAGAAATCACCGCCCATTGTCTCTGCCCGCGCTCCGCGTGGGGGTGGGGGGGTTGGGGGCATCAGCTGTTCTCACCGGCGATGCTCAACGCCACACTTCAGCTCAAGAGCGGCGACGAACGCTCATATAAACGATGACAAAATACCGCTAATGGACGGTTTACTTTCTGTACTTTCTGTAAACCGTCCATTAACAGAATACCAAACATATTTCATTTTCGGTTTAAAATTCAAGTACCATTGCACTTAGTGGCGTAAATACGATACGATACATTACAACAACAACAACAAACAAAAACAATGGCGTCATAATTGACCGTGTAAGGTGACAGGACACCGCTGGAGGGGACAAGACTGGAGACAGAACGACAGCCAAAGGAGGGATCGCGCCCAAGGGAACGTTCACCACGGAGACGGAGCGATGAGATCGGATCTCGTGCGGGAGTGAGCCGGGGCGATAGCGACGTCGGGGCACGGGGGCTGGCGACGGCGTGCGTGGGCGAGCGTGGCGAGTTGGCTCGTCGGCAAACGCGCGAGTGGATGAGCGAGCCAGGGGGTGGGCGCCCGAGGGGCATGCGGCGGTGGGAGCGTGCGGGTGCATTGAGCAGACAGAGTGAGCAAGTGGGTAGGTGAGCGAGGAGACGACCGGGCAAAAGAGCAAGCGGGCGAGGGGGCAGCGCCGGGAAACCCGATGCCCGCGGCCCTCGTGTCTCCCGCTGCATAAATCACAGCGGCCGCCACTCCAATAAAACAGCAAATTGGTCTAAATTTGCAAATCTAAAGTCCATTAGGCCGCCAAAGTAAGTGACAGCGCCCAGGCCAGGCTGTGCTTTTAATGGACTCCCTGAATTATTACACTTGCAACTGGCACGTGTGCGCATGTGTGCGCGCGTGCGTGTCGGTGCGCGCGTCAGCGACCGCGCAGGAAGCGAACGAGCCGGTGCCCCCGGACCGACTCGGCGCCCTCGCCCACGAAGAAGCGACCGTCGCCGGCACGGCACGGCCCGCCACGATTTACAGCGTTCCTGGGGAGGATCGCATGGTCGGGCTGGTGACCGTGTTGAGTAACCCCATGCAGTCGTCGTGGGATTGTTAGAATGGCCATTATTTTACGTGGAGAACTGCCAAATAGTCCCATCTCGTTGCGGACCTTGGAACTGCAGGTGCTGTTGAAACGAACGGCGATTTTACAGCCTCGGAATCGTCCGTCGACTGCCCCGCTTGATTCAACGGCGATCGCCGTATTCCCGCGTGTGCGTGTGCTTATCGTGCGCATCTATCAGTTTGTGTCGGGCAATGAGTGGAATTATGAAGCGCACGGACGTGGCTCCGTACAGCTCAACAAAATGATGAATCTACCCAATCTCAAGCAAACCTTGTGACACATCTTTAAACGGCGGTGCTACGTTTCCCATTAACACCACGGTTTGTGTCGCCACTCTTTAAACGCCTCGGAGTCACAAGCGGTTCAGCCATCCACACACAACAAAGACAAAGATCCCCAGTCCAGCCAACACAGACTGTCGGGGGCAAGAGCCATTCAGCGAGCTGGTACGAAGGCCGACGTGACGCACGAAGGGGTGGGTGGCCAGCACCACGCCCAGGCCGACTTTGTCTCCCGAGTGACGATGCTTACGCTCCGCGTCAGGTACTCATTTAAGGCCGAGTCGACCGAAGGGAGGGCCTATGACCGGTTGAGATTTGTCGCCGCAGACTTAGGTCGTGTCCAGAAAATCAAACACACGTCGCCATGCTCGAAGCACCACGAGGAAGCCATTCCCCTACCGCTCCCCACCACGACGTCCACACGCTCACGCTCGCAGAGAACGACGCGCGTACGGCGCGCAACCCCCACGTAGCGCGCCTCTCCGGAAGCCCGCGCCGTGAACGGCGTCCGCGCAATCTCGGAACACGGCGAAAAAACGCGGCTTCGGCGGGGGCGACGGAGGGCCTATGACCGGTTGAGGCGGGCCGCCGTAGCGTCGGTGCGCGCGGTGCGGCATGAAGCAAGGCGGCGCCCACCTGAGCACACCTCCTTGTAGGACGGGTTCGGCGTGGAGCCTCCAGAGTAGCCGACCTGCGTGGAGAAGACTCCGCTCTGCGTCCACAGCATTCGCTCGGCACCCCAGAAGCAGCCCATGCCTGGGCACACGGGGGGACACACCGGGATGAGCGGAACGCCGTATGTCTGGAGTGATGCATTTTTATTGTTATAATAATCATTATTCTTATGCAACTGACAAATGACCCAGACTTACAGATCTTCCCAGGACAGCTGCTGTCTCAACAAGAGGACAATCCTGGGATAGGCAAGACAGGTGGCAACGCGAGACACAACGGCGGGCCAAGCTGGCACCCTTGCGGCGGCAGCGCCCCGCGGTGGGCGTGGCTCACGGCAGCGTCACGGTGGCTCGCGGTGAAGAGGCTCAGGGTGAGGAGGCTCAGGGTTAGCGCGTGGTGAGCAGGGTGGGGAGGCTCAGTGGCGAGGTGGCGTCTGCCACGCCGCACGCCGCACTCACCGAATGTGGCGAGCTGCAGGCCCTCGGGGAACGGCTCCACCGCCGGATTTCCGTTCACCGCGTGCTTGGCTGCTCGTGGGACAGCAGGGAGAGGAGGGACAGCAGGGAGACAAAAGACGGAGAAAGTCAGTCGGTCGGTCGCGCACGGAAGGTGGATCGTGGCATCGCAGGACCGTTAAGTGACGCGATGGCATGGCCAGGTCTTCATCCTACTGTCATAAAACATGGCTGACAACGAAGGTGATGATGGTGTTCAACCAGAAGTAGTTTAGATTAAGGTGCGAAATTCACCCGGCCATCCACTCGTTCGCACGAATATCAGAAGTGACCCAGGAGTGGAGGAACGTGTATCTTATTATCCATAATTACTACAAAAAGGTGTCACACCAGATGTGGTCTCACACAAGTGCTGCGTTCATCCTGTTGCCCAGTCCTTGAACAGATCAGAAGAGTCACTCGAAAGTGGCATTGAATTCCTCTTATTATCCACGTGTATTAGGAATAACATGGTATTACGAACAGGCATGATGTATTGAAACACACATATACATAACACGTATATTTTCGCAGCCAATGGGATAGGCCACGTAATAATCTGGACCAATGTGTCGAGTCCCAACGCCACGTGTACAAGAGGTCAACGCACCAAGGATTAGAATGTCCAGAATTCTCATTTGCTGTATTTTAATACTGACTTGATGGACCTTGTCCTGAAGATGTTCGACGCAGAAACGTCACAATCAGACTAATAAATTTGGTTGTGGGAGACTCGCACCGGAGACGTTGTTATTATCTCTGCAGGGCTCCTCTGAGTCAGCAGTCCAAATGCTCTCGCCGAGCCGAGCCACGGTGTCGCGTGTGGTCATAATGTGCACGCGTGTGGTCGTGCAATCATCGACGCTCGACACAGCCACCGTAGCCGGTAGTCGGCACGTCCCGCGATCGCACCGCAGCGCCGAGCGCGCCGGGCGTCGCGGAGGGCGGCACGCGGAGGGAGCGGACGCGCTCACGCACAGCGGCGGGGAGCACCGGGCATCGCTCCTCTGGCTATGGCGGAACACGCAGGGAGCCCGGCGTGACACTGCGTGAACATCGACCGGACTGCCGACCACACAGTAAGGGCCCCTGCGATCCTTGAGAGAATCTGTGGATCTCTACGCGAGTCTACGGATCCCCGTGTGAGTCTCTGGGTGTCCATGTGAGTCTACGGGTCTCTGCAAGAGTCAGTGGGTCTCCATGTCCTTTGCCCGCATCTCCGATTAGCACGGCTGGCAACGTACGGTGCGAAAAAAGTTAAACATACGTACACACATACATGTCGACACGAGTCCCTCCGTGAGCCCACATGGAAATGAACCAGCGTGAACTGACTCGATTGAAAAATTTAAAGAGGCATTTCAGCAATCCACCACACATCGACTGAAGCCGATTGCTGGTAACAAAAAAATGTTAAATACCCAACACAATTGGCAATAATGCTGTGGCCTCGTGAGGGCAACTCTATGACGGATTACGTTTCAGGCAATGGCCCTTTTTAAATTGCGGTTAAAAATATTTTTTTACATGAATGTTGTTGTTGACGATTGTGCTTACGCACCCCACCGCCAATGCAGGAGCAGCAGCATCTCCGCCAGACAATTTAAACGCCGCAGGCATCGGCTTTGCACCGCAACTAATTCCGCATGTTCTCAAGCACGCACACACGTATCGCGATGCACCAGTTTACTCCGCTGTGTGTTTTTAATGAAGCAGAAACGCGTGCGGCGCAACACCGCAGACGTGTGCTGCACTGTTGCAAATCGTCCGTACTCAGGGCGCACTTCATCACAACGGTGATCATAACACGCCGTGGACCTGTGAAAACTACGCGCCACGCTGGTGTTGAGCGCAGCGGTGAGCGGTGCTGCGCTCCGAGCCCGGCCACCCGAGTTTGATTCCCGCTCACGGCCACCAATGCCAGTTATGTATTTTATGAACCGGTCACGGGCCTCCCCCTAGGTTGACTCGGCCTCAAATGGGTACTTGGTGCGAAGTGTAAACATCGCAACTCGGGAGGCAAAGGTGACCTTCATAGGAGCTCGTTAACAGCACTTGGCCCAACATTCTGTAAACGCTATAGGGGGATCTTTGTCTTTCTACGATGTTGGTGAAATGTATAGAGGGCGTGTTGCGTGTATGTTGTGTTTTTGTCATGTATGGTGCATGTGTGGGTAACGTGTTTGTGGCGAGAGGTCTTTGTGTGTGCTCGTGCGAGTCTCCGTGTGTGCGTGGCTGTGTGCGTCTGTGTCATTCTTTACGTGCGAGTATCGCGCACAGTGCGCGCACGGGTGAGACGTGTGTGTGTGCGCGTGGGTGCGTGGGTGCGTGGGTGCGTGTGTATTCTTCTGCGTGCGTGCGTGCGTGCACGTGTGCGTACTACCCAATGACAGTGTCCCAAACGGATTAGGATAAGAGCGTCGTCTGCAGTGGGGGGTTGAAACGCGATGGAAAGGGGGAGGGACGGAGCAAGTAAGACAGATGTCTGTCACATGACCTGCGCTGACAGCCTTTGATGGATTGCTCGGGGTAAACGCGCATCTGTGCCGCCACCGCCACGGACACAGCGACGGACGGGAGGACGCGACGCGGCGGAGAAGAAAAAAAAGCCGCAATCTACCACGCGCGGCACAATCATCGCGACGCCTGCCCCCCCCCCCAGCCCCCCACGCACAACTTTAAACACCGCGGCCAGCTGGGTACACCGCTCAATGAGAAACACGTGCACCTTTGACCTTCAGCAGCGCCCATCCCACACGGCTCGGGTGAGCCTCCCATCAGCACATCACATTCAATTTCATTAAATTACCTTTCCCCCGTGAAGTTACGACGGTATACCGGACGGCGTGCCGTCATCGCGCAGGAGGACCCCCCCCCCGCCTCTTTTCTCTTAATTTTCGGCGCGGGAACGTTACGAGCCGCGCACGCTCGCGCCGCAGATTCATCTCTTTGTCTCGCTTTTGATAACGGCCCCGAAAATGGCCGGGGATTTATTTCGGCGAGCGAAGAAGGAGCTTTGCGGCAGCGCGAGCGCGGCGAGATTACGCCGCTCCGTTCGGAGGCGGTGTTGGCAGCGCGCGCCGCGGCGCCGCGCCTGATGGCTTCATCGGCGTCCTCCATTTTAGTTTGGAGCAAACGTAAAAATGTATCTTTGTAACGGCGCAAATCCGCTAAATCGTGCCGGATTAGAATAAAGTTAAATCTGGGATTAAAAAGCTCACAGCCTGCCTAGCGGGCCACCCGCTGCCATTCCCCAGACGGGAGTGGGCGCGTCGCGTAGATTAACCGCGGTGTCGCGCAAACGCGCGCTGCCCGTCCCGTCCCGACGTCGCCGAATTTGGCCGTGCATGCATTCACCGCGCCGCCACCGCCGCCGCCGCCATCATCGGCACGCGCGACCAATGCGGGGTTCCTCTCTGCGCAAAGATCCCGGTTTTGCGATCGCGCCCGGTGCGCCTGTGCCGTGCCGTCGGAACGTCCCGGTGAAGGGCACGTGCACGCGAGCACGACGCTCGCTTGCACCGGCGCCGGTTCGCCGAAACCCTCCCGATGCGGTGGTTTTGTTCAGTCCTTCTAAGCCAGAGGGGTTTCTCCCGCGTGGAGCGGAGCGCGCGGGGGAGAAAGCCGCGGCGGAGGCGAGCGCGATCTCCCGACGTGGTCGCGAGATCGCGAGTCGCCGAGAGACGGATCGCCGAGTTGACGGCGGTCGAGATGCAAACGTTGCAGCAGCAGCAGCACGTCGCCAATCGACGTTCCGTGGGGGGATTTCTCGTTGTTTCTCCCCCCCCCGCCCGCCCCCACTATAAAAGCACTGAAATTGTAGGAAATTATACAGGTTACTTTTAAATTAATTAATTTGCAGAAACAAATTGATTTGAAATATTTTAATTAAGTTACAGTTTAAAACTAATTATTTCTAGATTGCTTCCAAATTATGCTCCGTTTAACACTGGTCTCTTTTGTAGTTGTCGCACAGGCAAGCAGCCAGTGCATTTCTCAAATGATTGCAGTGGATTAATTTTTACAAAAAACGACAAATTCAATAAAATACCTCCGAACACAATGATCCAAACATCGAGCAATTGCAATTCAATTAAGCACGTTTAAATATTGCAAGTGCGGTTATTTTCGTTTGGCCTCGAATAGGTCACAGCACTATTCGCACTCGTCGTTGTCTTTGCCGCTGTAAATGGCGACAATCGAGCATGCCTGTGCTGTCGCAACCTGCCAGGCATTCTACCACAGTGGCACGCACGCAGAGCGGTGCCAGCAGTTCGGCTGGCATGGCCCTGTCTCATGCCAGGGACAACGCCAGGGCTGGCACGGTGTGTGCCACCACATTCCCTTCGTGAAGAGGGGCGGGGGGTTTGCTGCCAAATCGCCGGAGCGAAAGCACACTGCGCGCCAATGTCCTTTAGAAATGCCACAAACTACATTTGGAGACTGTTAATTCTACCACGACGCTCCTCGAATATGAAACCAAAAGTGCACGTCCCTCACGTTCATTCCCCGTAGGTCAGTGTTTGTTGGACACTTTAATTCTATTCATTAATAGCCCTTGATAGGGAACATCTCGTTGGCGACGGGCTCGCCGCTTGGGCAACACGCTTTAAAAAAAATAGGTCCGCAATTTAAATGTTTTTTTCTCTTTGTCGCTTAATATATCAGCCCGATATATGGTTCTGACTTCATGCGGAATCGTATTGCATTCAAGGTTACCGTATGGCTTCCGTGACCCTGGTCTCTCCGAAACAGACACGTGTTTCGGTCTCACCGGACTCTCGCCCGATCAAACTAGAGGCCTTGCAGCACAGGGCCAGGCTTGACCAGACTATACGGGAGCCCCAAGCTCATGTCCCCCACCCCACCCACCCAAAAATGACAATGTTTTATTTTATTTACATAGGACAGGAGAGGGGGGGCCAGAGGCAACTATATTTATTGGGGCCTCAAACGTCTCCGGATAGGCCTAGAGAGAGGTGCTGGCACATCCTTCCTGAGGTCTAAGCCATGCCTAAATAAGGCCATGTAGA